GGGCTGTCATTGGCAAGCCCCCGTAATTCCTGCTATGGGAAGGGGGTAGTAGCAGCTGCCATGAGGGCTCCAGGGAAGACTGGCAGCAGGGTGGTGTGCACAAGCCAAGCCCCCAATACCCTGTCCTTTCTGTTGCGGGAAGGCCAGTCTCCAGCCTGCACGACCTGTCCATGCGTAAGGCAGGACAAAAACTTGACATGTGTTTGAGAAACCCAGAGCGCTGCAGGCTGCAGCAGGGCCCCACGTGGAGGGGTGGTGGGAGGCCAGGCTAGATGGGAGGTCACAGGTGCCTGACCACCCACAGGGGCCTTCATACACGGTTCTTAGTTAATGGGGAGTCACCAACGGTGCTGGGCGGGGTGGAGCGGCACGGGGAAGATGGGGAGTCACCGACGGTGCTGGGCAGGATGGAGCAGCACTGGGAAAATGGGGAGTCACCGACAGTGCTGGGCAGGATGGAGCGGCACGGGGAAGATGGTTCAAGCAGGAGGGAAGAGACTGCGGGCGAGACTGTGCCACAGAGGCTGAGCAGGCCCACGCCATGTGGCTCCTGTTTCAGCGGCCCTGTGACCTGTGCGTCAAGCCCTGGGGGAGCACCGTGGTGGTGGCGCTGGCTCCTCCTGCTGGCAGCTGGACAGGAAACGGCCAGGAGCTCCTTGGGTACGGGCAGTAACTCTCAGTTCAGAGAATGCAGGTGGGTTCCTGTTGGAGGCCTTGGATTCTGGTTTGAAGCCCAGGAGGGCTGCCTGGCTGGCTGCAGAGACACTGCATGGGCTTGAGGTAGGATGAACCAGAGCAGAGAGGGAGCCCCAAGGCTGAGGAGGAGGAAGGGGAGGGCTGGGGTGTCTCTGCAAACACCCTGGAGGGGCTGTGTCCCAGGGTGCCCACAATGTCCTGAGCTGTCACATTCTCTGTCTCCTGCCCTTAGGGTGGGAGCTCACACTGACCACAGGTGGGGTGTGGACTGGCTGGGGCCCCACCTGGAGAGATCAACTTTATTTCTTCTTCAATCCTCTCCCCACCCCCAGCCCATGGGGCCTAGTTTTCCCGGCTTTTGCCTGGACATTCACTGTTGACATTCAAAAGCTAAGCAGGTGCCACCACCCTGCTGTCTGTGTTCTGTCTTGCCGTCTCCCTACTCCGAGACCTTCGAGGCTCTGCCCAGACACCCGACACCCAAGCAGAGGAGAAGATGGGGGTTGGGGCTCACCTGGGGCATGGTGCCGGCTGATGTGGCCCACGCCTGAACAACCCTGCTGGAAGTCCACTCCGCAGATGGCAAGCCTCGTGAGAGCTGGACAAGGCGACCTCTCCCAGGCTCCTGGCTGCCTGCGAGGTGCGGTCACTATTTCTCAAGTTGCAGAGATTCTCCTGCAGAGGAAGATGCCCTGACTCTGAGGCCTCACTACCTGAGGGCTTGGCGCTAGCTCTGCACTAAGCCACCTGTCCTCTTGGGCCACGCAGGTCTCTGGACCTTGGTGGGCGTGTGCAGCTTGAATGAGGCCCCACATACAGTGCCCAGCACAACACCTGTCAGACACAGGCACCCGACAGGGTTGGAGCACCTTCAGTCTCAGTCCCCAGGAGGTGGCCAGGGGCCTGGGCCTGCAGCCGTGGAGAGTCTGCGGTCCCCCCAAAGCCGTGTGCGACCTGGGAAGGAGGCTGCTCATGTTACTCCTCTCATCCTGCCTCCTTCCTGGAAACACCTTGCTCTCCTCTGGGTATTAGTCAACGAGCTCTGTACGTGGGCCTTCGGAAATGGGATCTCAGCTAAAAAAGGAGCAACGAGATCCAGATGATTGCAGAACTATTCCTCAAAGCCCGAACTCCCCCAATTCATTAAATCACCACCTCCGAGCCACCAAGGAGCCAGGCAATTACTCTGTCTTTCGCTCCAGCCTTTTATGAAATTTAGAATTTCCTCAGAAGTTTACGTGGGGAAAGAGACGGGGGGCGTTGTCTGCCTGCACCCGGTGTGTCATGCATGTAGTAGATATCCCTTCCATTTCATTCTGGCAAGGTTCTGCAAGGGACATGCTGGTGTTTCCATCCTGCAGGGGGAGAGGTCAAGAGCTCTCTCTGCAGGAACAGGTTGTGACACGACTGGCATGTGGCAGGGCTGGATCCCACCTGAGGATGCCGCCAAACCTGCCCAGGCTGATGGGAAAGTGAGAGCTGGAAGCAAACAGGGATCCGTGTATCCCCAGGCATGTACTGAACCAGCCCCCCCCCCCCAGGGGGCAGAGGGGGGGGGCCAGGGTTTGGG